GGAAAAGGGGTTGTCCGTCATTTTCAGATGATCAATTATGAACGCTACCCGTGGCTCACGGCCTCTGTGAAATGCTGCAACTCGTACTGCTGGGACTGCCTATTGCTTGCAACTGACCGATTTGGTGTTTGGAGCCACACTGTTGGAGCCACACTGGATTGTTTTACTAAGGCAGCAAGGAAACGGCTGGGCACTTACAAGCTACGGTGCGTTTAAAAACGTTTGGGGACACTCGCGTAGATCTGCACCTCAGTGAACAGGCACGACATTGGTGAGTAAATGAAATTTATTTTACATTTCTTCTTGTCATTTTATTTCGTTAGTATTAAATTCATGGTAACGAAATAAAATGACAAAGATACAAAAATGTATCAAATAAATCTGCTCACCTGCAATTTATAATGGCGCATTGTAGTCACCTTCGTGCACGAAAGTTCGTTCAATCTCAGCTGCTCAACATTTTCAGTTATTTGCTGTTGTATCGCCGATTTTCAAAATGCAAATGATCTGTTTACTTTATTTTCAAAGAATAGTTTGTTTTGTTGTTGTTTGGTTGGTGTCTTATATGAAACTGCGACATTGCGCAATTTATTGGACAGACTTGTTTAAGATCACACAGCGTAATTTGGGTGGCATTTTATTTCGTATATTTAAATCATCTTTTTATTTTTGACTATCTGTAAATTTAGTTTCCTGCTCTTAATTGTGAATGCATACTTGACGGTTTTAAATGCTCCTGAAATTAAGTGCTGCTTGACCAGCCTATATTGTGTATGTATGTGACGTCACTGAAGGCCTAAGGTTGAAATGCACGGCCCGCCACTGCTGGCACATTACTGCTGTTCCTGACAAACAAATATAACGAGACTTAATGTTTGCACTTTTGTAGTTAAGTCACTAACATAACAGTTCTCTGACTCCATCAGTATTATCTTTTTTCAAGGCAAAATGTGGTCTATGGGATTGGATCGCAGTAGCTTGTTAAAACAATTTGCCTTTAATTTATGGCTTGTGGGTGTCTTTCCAATGACTTTGATGCTTTCATATTTGTACGGTGGCCCCGGGTTATTCTTTTATTCAAAGCAAACTCCAAGTCAAATATTCGTTTCTTAAAAGTTCTTTTCCCCGCCTTGATCCAACAATCTGCACTGTGACACAGGCTGAATGCCTCCACACGTCAGCGCTGATAACGCTTTAAATTGGCGCTGCTATAAATTGGCTTATAAATGGTGTGCTGTGGAGGGGTAAACTTGACCTTTAATACTTCTTAAAGGCAGCCTGACATTTGGTAGTTGTGAATCACAGATGTCTGCCCCTTTGTCACCATCAGTATAAAGTCCCCTGCACGCCCAATAATGAAACATGACACATTAAATTGATGAAATAGAAAGTATGTCGCTCAAAGTGCCTCATATAACTATACGTCACAGACTGAAGCCCTCCCTTAGCAACAGCTCCGCCACATACGACCAATCCGCTCGCAGAGGGCTGCTTTTCCACCCCCTAAAGGCCGACAGTGATGGCTCTGATGACATCCAGGAAGTCAAGGCGAAACCGACTGCTGCCTTTTTTGACCAGCATACTTTCTTGCAGTGAACTTGCACAACTGTCTCTCTGTTGTGCACAAATTGCAGTTTGGCAAAATGGTTGCGCCGGTCAAGCCCCCTTGTTCGGGTTAACTGGGTCAACCAGACGAGGGACAGCTGGTCTGGCAGTGCGCAAGAACAGAGATGGGTTTTTGTATTGTTTCACGAAGTCAAACTAGGTTACCGTTACATCCACCAAAATTTCGCTGTAAATTTACAATACACAGCTACTGTCTGCCAGATATAAGAAATAACAATAGCAAACTTTACGTTAAGGACACGAGGCAGCATCGCACCGATTGTGCTGTTTTTTTCTATGAATTAGCATCATACACCCACCCATCTTTTGAGGCCAAAGCTACAAAGCATGTCAGACATAAGGCACAATAGTTTATCTTCGGAGCAAATGTTGAATTATGGGTGGAATGCAGCATCCGAGTACATATTTTGTATTCAATAAGCAATTGAAAAATGAATTTATTCATAAGAAAAAAAAAACAATGCCAACCAACAAAGATATGAACAATTCTGTTGAATGTACTCATAAGTTTCAATTTTATGTTAGAGCAGTTTCCTAAACTTTTTCAGCTCAGTACCCAAATGACAAATTTGATTGCTTCCATCAAGATCAAATGAAGCTAAAGTTACAATACTACTATCTATAGACATAAGAAACACAATGGTGAACAGTTTTCCATTATGGGCAAGAGGCAGCATCCATCCATCCATCCATCCATCCATCCATCCATCCATCCATCCATCCATCCATCCATCCATCCATCCATCCATCCATCCATCCATCCATCTTCTGCTTAACTGTTTGCGGGGGCAGCAACCGAAGCAGAGAAGCCCAGACTTTCCTCTCCCCCAGCCACTTCGCCCATTGCTTTAATGGGGATCCTGAGGCGTTTCCACACCAGTTGAGAGACATAATCTCTCCACCATGCCCTGGGTCGTTCCAATCCTCCTTCTGCTGGCATGCAGCCAGAAAATCATACAAAGGAGGCATCCAGGAGGCATCCTAAATACTGTAGATGTTTGAGCCACCCTATCTGGCTTCTCTTGAACTTCTGAATGAGGCCAGAATGCCATTGCACCCGTTCTACCCCGAAAGCCCCACACTGGAATTCTTTCACTTGAACCAGGGTCTCATTTCCAAAATGAAGAGGGAATTCTACCCTTCAGCGACTGAGGAACATGGCCTCAGATTTGGAGGTGCCGATTCACATCCCAACTTCCTCACACCTCGGCTGCAAACTGCCCCAGCCAGAATTGAAGGTTGTGGCTTGACGAAGCCAACAGAACCTCAACTGCAAAAAACAGAATCAATAGTGAGGCCACCAAACCGGACCTCTTCAACACCCTCACCTAAAAATATATTACAGATGATAATAATAATGATGTGTTCGCTGAAACGATTTCGACAATGGTCCAGAGGGTTCGATGCATGCTGTTGTTTTTTTTTTTTTTTTTTTTTTTTTATGAATGAAATACGATGACATCCACCACACATATCAGCAGAGCGCAGAATCTGTCTGTCTGCAACTCGATCGAATCCACCTGTGCCAAAACTTAGTCCTGCTTCCAGCAGACATAAAAGTTAGTCAGCCACCAAACTGTCAAGGGCATGTACGGCGCTATTCAAATTATTATGCATGTGAGGTTTTTCTCAAATTTGTTAA